TCAAAAAAAAAAAAAAAAAAAAAAAAAAAAAAAAAAAGATACAACTTTACATCATTGCACAAGTTACAACTGGCTATATAAAAGGACACCTATGACCAAACAACCACAAATACAGACAGAAGTTCACTGACCTAAAAGAGCCTTGAAGAGCCTCTGAAACCATGGACAACATTCCCGAGGGGGCTTGAACTTTTTTTTTTGTTTTTTTTTTAAAAAACAAAAACTCCAATGACACTGTGTACATTTCTGAGCACACACAGCTCAGACATTCCTAACATGAATCGAGGTGCCTATGCAGTACACGCAGCTATCCCTATGATCCACCACGGAAATGCTAAGAGAACAACCCACTTGTTTGGCTGTCATGGAAGCAAAACTAGGAAACTATAGACTGGAAAACAAACATTTGGACCATTATGGAAAGAACTTAAATTTCATGAATGAAAACTTTCCTAATGACTTGTTTAAAATAAACATTTTCTTATACATTTAAAAATTTGCTTGCAATGCACTTCAAGGAACGCTTACTGCCACTTCCACACGTCCACGCTGCTTTAATGAAAGATCCCAAATCCACTCCCCTCTTATCTTGAAGACCTTCTCTGCCGCCCACTGCGACCAGAGCCAGGAGGCAGAGGGGGATGAGTGTTCGACATCAAAAGCAGCAGCAGCAATTTGTGAACTTCCCAGCTGGAAGCGCATGCAGAGAGGGGAGACTGCAGCGCCTGGGAAACTGCAAGTAACCTAAGGTCTCTTATGTACAGGAGAAAAGTTGGACACGCTAAGTGCATTTTATTGTACAGCTACAGCAGAATCACCCCCCACATTAACTCCCTTTAATATAACATCTTTTATACTGCAAGCCACGGAGCAGCATGCACAGCATGGCAAGGAGTCACAAATGATAAGGACAGCAATTGGAGCAGTGGTCACTGAGCTCTTCCCAGAATTTTTCCTTTTGTACATGTTGTGTTGCCAAATTTCATCTCATCCAGAACAAGCCTATTTGTTTCCAAAAAGCACTGATTAGCCACACAAATTATTACCAGGTGACAATGAGCATCTCTGTGCAGCTTTGTTCTGTCTGCTGCACTGTGGCTACAGAGGGTCCACTGCTCAAGCCACATGAAATAACAGCCCCCTGCTCTGCGTACCCTTGCTTCAATCCCGTTTTCTGAATCAGGGAAAAGAAGCCTGTCACAATTCTAAAGATTCATATTTTTCTAAGTTATAATCTTGAATATTCCTGTTCAGGCACTTCCCTAAGCCACAGGCTGAGCAAACCTAAAACCTAGAGGAAAAGCCACCTCCTGGTTCCCTGAGCACAGGGCAGCAGCGACTCCTCCTCGGGCCTCTGTCCCCTCCCAGGGCACACAGGTCTCCTGCTCTTTTTCCTCCATGGAAAACCACAATAGTTTACACAGTTATACACCAACATGGAGAAAAGCTCACAAGAACCCTTCGCTCTGATAAGAGGTAAATAAAATAAAATAAAATGGAGGAAGGCAGAAAATATTGAGCATCTCA